AGTTTTATTAGTCAGCAGATAGAAGTGTCCGTCCGAACTGTCAGGTTACACTGCGTCCCGATTGCCTCCCTTAGGAAGTCTCGCAGGTTAGTATTTATGAAAGAGGAAGAGTTCATTCTAATTTAGATAGGTCACCATAACAATTTAAAGCCAGAAAATATTTTTAGATGGTAACAATTTTTGGAAATATTAATGAATGGATTGAGATTTCCAAATTTCGACACAAGTTGGATTGCCGAACTTAAGCAACGTCGAGCCTGATCAGTATCTACATGGGTGACCGCTTGATAATCAGAGAGATTATTTCCAATTTCGTTCACGCAAAATACTCTTCAGAAAGCTATAAATCCAATAACTCTAAAAAAAAAAAAGTCAAGGATCAATTTTACAATCTACCGGGCCCCATTTCTAAAATGAATGTTTTTCGATTCTGACAAGCGTCACAGCATTAGCAGTGTTTACGGAATGCTAATCTACACAGCCAGTCAGTTATGTGCCATACGTGATACACGCTTAGGCGATCATGTATCTTTCGATACATGACTGACGAGGCAGATTTTTTTTTTCCTGCAGGAGGGGTGCCATTTCTTTCTGCGGTAAACCAGTTGTCATCCAAGGCTATAGAACCCGGCCTCTCCTGATATTTATCCATAGCTGGAGCTATCGGCTATCTATAGCGGCTAGGATTGAGGAATGGGAGAGCCGAGTTCGAAATCCAGTCGAATCGATTACATTCACTTACGTGCTAATACCTCTGGGAAAGGCATGAATCCTCTCCCCCGACCCAGCTAAGCAACGTCGAGCTTGGTCAGTACCTAAATGGGTGACCATTTGGGAGTGTTCAATGCTGTAAGCTTGGATGTGCGGCTGGTGTAATAGATAACGTCACGGAATTGTTAATCGGAGAGCCGAGTGTCAACTCCAGTCGGAGTCGTTATAATCAGTTACGAGCAAATGCCCTGATATGAATCCACCAGTTATGGGTTAATTAGTAGGAATTGTCTCAGTAAATCATTATCATCTCCAAAAATATCTTACAATCTGAAAATATTTTCTCGATCTAAATAACTTGAAAAACTTTGATAAGTCGTAAATAATTCAATCAATCTACACAAATTATTTGTAAAAAAATATTATTTTTTTTTTTTTAGTGGACCTGTGTACTTAAGTAATTCCGAGGTAAGTACAATCAAGTTTTCGGAAAAAAAAATCGTTAGGTTTATTAAGTAAATGCAATTAAAATGTGTGAATATTATTAATATTATTTTCATTTAACAGGTGAATATATTAGATAAGTGAAAACGTCTTATAGAAATTATATCGATTGTTCTATTAATCACAAAAGAAACATCCGGTCTAATATTGTTATTATGTTGTTTTAAATAATTATAGATGATGTTCATTGATTCCTGTCCTGGTTTGCTCTAATTGGGAACAGTATTTGTTCGAATCAGTTGCTTAGTTTTCCAGAAAGAGACTATAGTAGAAAGCACATTTCAAATCACATCATATACGGAGGATCTTTTCTTTGTGTGAAGACAGGTCATTTTTACACTAAGTGCTGGGATCATTTTGCTTGCCGCACGATCACTTGTATTCCACATTGTTGTAAAGTACCCAGTTTTCCTCGTCTGTCATAGTTTGTTTCAAAATGGAAATAAAACCCAGGTTAGGTTGTTTCTGTTTGGAAGCCACATATCGAAACGACTAACACACCCAAGCTGATGTAAATCATTTTCAAGGCTTGTTTGGAACGCTATCAACATCAAATGGTCTACACAACTTTTATCATTTATCACGAAATATCCAGCAAGAAAACTCGCTAACCATTTATGACACGTTTGAGTTTTTGCAGCACCTTCTCCATAAAAGAGACGAATCTCATTTTTTGATATTTATTTGGCATTTTATTTTTCTCATATTTTATATAGTATATATAAAAAACTAGCAGCAGAGTCCGGCGTTGCCCAGGGATCTAACAGTAAGAGATAGATCAAGTATCGGCCATCATAAAGACTGAAAAATAAAATTGACAAAGTTTTTTGTTTAAGGTTGACGGACACGCATGTCTTGATTATTATTATTTTTTTCTTACGAATTGGTCAAACTCAAACTCAAACAAAAACATTGTTTTCAATCGTTATGAGTCTACCGATTGAATAGAATTTTATTATAAACAATTGTCTTGTAAATGGAATTTTTAAAGCATTCTGAATGTAAAAATAAAGAAAAAAGTGTGCAAGACAATAAGAAACACTACCCGCCCCCAAAAAGTGAAGTTTTGTTGAAATCGGTTGAAAAATGTAGGAAATCCGATCCCATATATAAACGGACACACACACACAAACAAACAACCTGGGTTTTATAATAAGTATAACTCGACATGAGTTGTCCCCCTTTCATTCTGGCGACAGAATCGTGTTTTATCGTGTTTTCAAATTGATTTCGTGCAAAAACAATTGTGTTTTTCCAATTTTTGGCGCTGTCAGAACCACCGCAAGGTAATTTTACGTAGTCCTGTGAAGTTTTGTTGAAATTGGTTGAAAAATGTAGGAAATCCGATCCAATATATAAACGTACAGACACACAAACACACAATCTGCGTTTTATAATAAGTAAGATGTTGCTATTTTTCCACCAATGTTTCAGTATTACAATCAATCAACAAAAATTGTGAAAATGCTCCGAATGGTTCAAGCTGATATTACAACTGGTATGGTAATGGTAATATTAGTCATTTCCTTATATGGAAATATTCAGCATTCTATGACCGAGCTGCCAGTGCTTCCGTCGACTGTAATTTATAACATCTTTCTATTAAAAGAATTTACTCAGGAAAATAGGTTTCTCATATCCAGTTATTGATATCGCTTTTGCTAGTATTGTGGGAGTTTCCTTCCTAACTTTTGGTTTGAAGTTGTGTGGAACGTTAACATCTTGATTATTTCATTACTTTTCTCTGCTGTCCAATTTAGTTGTTGCTGTTATTGAATGTGCTCCATGGATGTGGTTCCTGTTATTTTGCACTGTTATTTCTAGTCCAACAGTTTCGAAGGTGTGTCTTTCATGGTAAGACCCACAGAC